CACAAGAAAACTTAGAAAAGAAAAGGATTGAGATGTTTTCCTATTTTGGCTCATCAATTTGTGTGACATCTCCATGAAGTTGCATGCCATTCAATCACACCCAATTCCCAGATTTAAACGTTGTTGTCCCCAGCAACTAATTTAAATCTAAAACAGCAATTGATCACTGAAACACATTCATATATAACCCAATAGCATCAGTACTATCGCAATGTGCATCATGCAAAAACAGTGAATATCCCAATGTGCTTAATTTAATTACAAAAGTAAACTAATAGCAAAATAAAACTAAAAGAAAACTACCCAGATTGATACAACATTCCATGGACATGTTATTAACAATAAAAACCTAACATAAGCAGAAGAGAGGTAAAAGAATTTGAGAGTGTGTGAAATGAGAATGAGGGAGTAGAATATGAGAGTGTGTGAAACATATGAGATAACCGTGTAAATCATATAAATGGACAAGCGCTAAAACGTTGAAATCAAGCGTTTTAGCGCTGGTCTCCAGAGACATGTGCACATTGATGTGCGTAGCATAACGCTAAAACGGTCACGTCTGAACGTTTTAGCGCTCTGGACCAGAATTGCTGAAAATAATAAAAATTCAATCTCAATTATTAATGGTGTCTATCAATGTTGAAAGAACAAATCTCCGGCAACGGCGCCAAAAACTTGTTGCAACTTTAGCAAGTGTACTAGTCGTACAAGTAATAAAATGATGAGTAAAGATCGTTCCCACGAGGATTTGTGTTCAAGCATCAACTAACCATATATAATTAAGTTGAATCAAACAAGAATTTATTGATTGCATTGATTATTGTCACCAGAATTGAATTGTATTAAGACTTGACAAAATAACTAAAATGTGAATTAGAATTTTAAAAACAAGTAGTCAGAAATCAATGTCCCTCAATCATAAACTTATGTAAGAATCAATCCTATTATGAATTATCTCCCATGTGATGTCAATCAACCTTTTTCTTATCACCAAGATGTAATCCCTTACTATCCTGGTTGATACATTAATCAAGAACCCCAATCCCTTGGTGATTCTCTTCTTAATACATACATTAAGCACTAAGATTTTAAAGATTACATCAGAGTCCTAGTCCCAATCCCTTGGTGACTAGAACACTGATTATGAAATTTCTAATTACAGAAATAATGTAAACATTCCCGTTCTACACTACTCCTTTAATGGAAAGAATTGATAAAGACAATTTCATATCATCACATAAAAGCTAATCATAAAATTCAATCAACCATACATAAATTCATACTTGAGTTCCATTGAATCAGACTACAAAGGACTCTACTCAGACATAATAAAAGAATAAACATGAGAAGAGGAAAGATCAAATTCCATTGTCATGATGGTTGAGTCTTCAATCTTCAAGTACAATTACATAAAATGCACTAACTATTACAAGAACTAAATCCTAAAGAATTTGGAAAGTCAGAGAAAGTGAAGAGTCAGATCAGATCTATAAAAGATCTGATCTGATCTCCCCTTCCTAAGTATCAGAGATTATGTCAAGTGTGAAGGCCCCTTGCCCTATTTATAGTTTACAATTTCAAAACTAAAATAATATCCAAAAACTGACATGGGCGCTAAGACTCTCATTGTTGGACGTTTTACCGCTCAACTTGACGAATTCCTAACCACTTTTAACTGTCATCTGCGCTAAAATGCTTGACTTAACCGTTTTAGCGTGAAAGACCCGAATCTTATTGAACAACAGAGCGCTAAAACGTTTGATTTGGCCGTTTTAGCGCCCAGCACCAGCACTTTTGGGCTTCCTTTTGCAGCAAAGCGCTAACACTTTTGCTTTAGGCGTTTTAGCGCTCAACACTTAGAATTCTCCAATTTCTTCAGAATCTTCTTCCTTCTCTATTTTGCTTCTTGAGCTTCGTTTTCCTACAAGAACAATGTAAATTTTCAACACAACTTCCAGAACTTGTATTTAGGACTTTCTAGGACATTAACCCTCTTTTCCATCCATTTAATCACATAAATTAAGCTAATTCATGCTTTAAAACCTTATAAACCAAGGGTTTATCAGGAGACATTCCTCTGTTCTATATTGGTGATAGAACACAGATTCGTTTCCTTACTTCCAACGTAGGATTGTGTAATTGAGTTGTTGTATGGTTGTATGAGTTAATAATAGGATTGTATGAGGGGTGGAGTAGTTGAATTGAATTGAAAAACCCTTGGTGTATGGCTAGGTGCAATTCGGCCATGAGAGGAAAAAGAGGGATTTGATGTTGTGAAATTGTATGATTGATATGTTGTGTTGTTAAATGGTAATTAGAAGGGTTGTGTGATGAATGGATGCTTCGAAAATCAAAGGAAAAGTGGTTGGTTTTGTGGAATTGGTAATTGGACCTAGAGTGAAATTAATGACAAAATGAGGTTGTGATGATGTAGGATGCAATTTGGCACCTAAAATGATATTTGGGTTGCATTAGAATGCTTAAGAAAAATAAAAAGAAAATGTAAGAAAATATTTTATATTTTAACACTAAAATGGTCGAACCTCACTTAGTGGGGGGAGGAAAATTGACGTTTTGTGACTTTGGTGGGTTTACCGTGTTTTGATGATCCGTATATGGTCATTGTAGGTTGTCTTTCGCGGATTTGAACCCTGAACCGTGAGCTCGGTGGGTTGCCCTTAGTCCCGGACCAAAAGGGATTGTGGTAAGTATTTTGGAACCATGCTTATGTGCTTGATATATTACATGTGTTAATGAATGGAAATTAAATTGGGAATGCCCTATGTGTAGGCATTTCTGTTTGTACCTAGCTCGGGGAAGTATTGCATTGGAGCTACGAGAAGGTGATTAGTAAGGTAATCCCTTGGTACTGGGGTTTGATCCCCTTGTGTGCTCCACCATGCCCGTTGAGGGTAATGGTAGGGAAATGTATGTGAATAATATAGGATAACATGTTCATGCATATTGTATGTGTGGTGGTACAAAGGATGTACCGTGTCTCTGGCCAGTAGACTGTTTGCCTTCGGGCGTTACGGACTTCCACTGGATAGGTCTCCGTGAGGGAGTTTCAGTTGACCTGGGGTCGTGGTGTGTGGTCCGGATAGGAGCACACTAGGAAGTCTCGGGTAGTTATGGATGGAGGGTGCCTTGGTTGATGTTCTGGGAACACGCCTTGGTTTGAAACCCGTAGGCTTATATGCCGAGGCCAATAGGCTGGACGTTGCGTGGTTTTGGCATTTACCATTCCAGCTTCGTCGTATTTTGTATCCCTATGCTTCCCTACTTCACTAAATCCCTTGCTTTATCCCGTTTTCAGATGTTATGTTATGTTATTTATATGCATCGACGTGAACCATTGGGCGGAGTATTCTCCAGAACCTCTGGGTTACTGAGATATATTCGGATATCTCACCCCGCTTTGGGGGTTTCATTTCAGGTAGTGCTAGTGGTGGGAGCGGCGAGCAGGAATGATAGGTAAGTAACATGTCTAGCTAAAGACATTAAACTAAGCGCTGACTGGGAGGCAACCCAGTGGATACCTTTGCCCTTTACACAAAGAGCAAAGTTTTGGGGTGGTTAAACTTAACCACGCAGCTCCCAAAATGGAGGGAACGTCTGATGTTCAACTCCAAGTCCAAATAAGACACGTTTCGTTCCAGGAACGTAGTTTGGGGGTGGTTCAATAACCACACATTCCCATAAAAAAAATATTTTATATATTTATTGCAATTTTAATATTAATCTTAATAAATAAGTAGTATTTCTTTACAATGCAATTTATATTTCGGTTTCTTTTATTAAGTAGGTTTGCAGTTTATTTATTAGGAATTAGTATATTATTATTGTTATTTTAGAATATAGGTAAAAGACAAAGGGAACGTTTCCTGGCTTAGGAGATAAGAGTGACAAGGACACATGTCTCTGCTGAGTCACTTACATATACACAGCTGATATCAAATCTGCACTCATTACAGATTTTGAAAACGTGCCCTGAAAAAGCAACTGTCTCCTCAGCCATTAATGCAACTGCTCTTACCCTATTTCCCTCTCTCCCACGTTTCTAACCTAAACCGTTCCACCTCCTTACCACCATCAGTAGCAGTTGAATACCACTAACCCTGACCACTCGTTCCATAATGTTCCCCTTCCACTACCTCTTCAACTCCCTGTCTTTAACCTCCACGTCCTGAAAAACTCCTCATTTTTCCTCCTATGCATGCTTATTTAAACTCATCTCCTTCCTCCTTCAAAGCCTTACTACCTTCTGCTAACTTAGAAACTTTTGCTCTTATTAAAACCTCCTCTTGCATTTTGCCCTAACTTCTTCTTCTTCTTCCATAACCATGACTAGACTCTTTGTAACTGTTACCCCTGTGGCCAGCCGTGGCCAGGAACTTGAAATCACCGAAGATGTTGTAGCTCTCTACCCAGAGAGAAACATCTTCTTACAGGACAAGGTTCATCTTCCATCATTCGTGAAGAAGGCCTTGACCAAACTCAGGTGGATTTTGTTCGCCACAGATGTACGAGAACTCGACACTGCCTTGGTGGCTGAGTTCTTATATCACGCAAAGAGGTTGCCTGAGGGGTACACCACTGATGTGGTGATTGTAAGGGGGAAGAAAGTATCATTATTCCCTTCAGCCATCAAGGAAGTACTAAACCTCCCAACTATTCCCAATTGCCCGTACCAAGGGTATATTGAAAGCAAAGAGGTCCCACGGTTCGTACTAGAAGTAAAAAACTTGCTCATCATTAGTGATCCTGTTTACTCAAAAGTGGCCCTCTACAAGGGCAGTCTAAAGGACGAGGCCAGATTCTCGCCTCTTTTTGCTAACTCTAACCTTACTCCATCCACTCATGATGCCACTGTCAAGTGAGCATTACAAGTACAACTCTACTGCATCATAAAGAACATTCCTTTTGATGCAGTACCTCTCATATATGGCAGCCTGAAGAAAAAAATCAGGAAAACTACTGTCTTCCTTCCCTGCCTGATTATGAAGCTCTGTTTAAGAACTGGATTGAAGACTTACAAAGATGATGACATTGTGGTAGGATCTGTCATCGATTTCAAAACATGGAATGGTCTGAGGACTACTTATATTGAGACAGACGTTCCATGTTACGATGTCAGACGTGACGTTGATGATGAAGAAGAGGGCCCTAAGGCCCCAAAGAAGACAACCACGAAGGCCACCCCTTCAAAATCAACAACCACTTCTTCTTACACCCAGGCAAGAAGAACTGTTCCCCCTCCCACTAAGGTAAAGAAGGAAGCCTCAGTTGCTACTGAGAGCAAACAGGGCAAAAAGAAATCCACCGCCAAAGCTCCCCCAAGAAAAGGGGAACGTTTCAGTCAGAGGCTGAAGATATCCTTCAGCAGCACCAAAAGACCAGAGGGAGCATCCTCTGAGAAGCCCATTGTTGGGTGGTTTGCTGATGGTGAAAAAATATAAGTTCTGATAGGGGACATTCCTCTGTTGTTGCAGAACAGTCCCTTAGTTCCAACCCAAGTGCGCAAGTGCACTCATCAAGTAACAAATGGAGTATTAATGCCCAAATTATCGTTCCCACGAGGATAGAGTGCTAATTATTGTTTTATCACTGTTTATAAAGAATGAAAGTTAGTAAATGAACTGTCTGGTCAAATGTTCCATACTGTCTTGACAACGTTCCTCCGGAACAGTAGGTTCAATCTGATGGCAAACAGTTGCTCGCTGCGTTATGTATGTGATCCTTCCTGTTTAGAAGAAGGTGAGATAATAATCATTGGAGTTTTTATAAGTACTAAATAAAATAAAATAAAAACTACTAAAACAGAAATAACTATAATCAAGGGACAACAGGGTGGTGGTTAAAACAGTTTAACAGAAGGAACGGATTCACTGCTTCACTCTTAAAAGGGTTGTTTTCTCTGCTCAAGACTTAACACCTTTTGGATTTGTCCCAGTTTCTCTACCTGCCAACTCTGATTCCTCAGATCATGGTCTAGATGGCTCACAAGTTTCCATATTTCTATGGCTCACTTGACTCCAACAGGTACTTAGTTCAGAACCTTAAAATGGACGAGTTGGCCCCTTATTCCTATGGTGACCAGTAGCGTTTTTGCCATGACATCTACCTTCCCCCAATGGCTAAGCTGTCTGAAATCCCTTCCTTATGGAAGTTCCTTTCTCAGTATGTACCCAATTTCCATTGGCGCACAATGAATATAGCTTACTTAGCCAAAGAAATACAAAAAGCTTCGGTCAAGAGTTTTGAAAACAGTTCTTTAAGAGTTTCACAGTTTACCCGTTCCACAGATAGTTCAGCTCATGGCTGATAGTTTAAACATAATTATTCTCAACTGAGATCACATAGACCCGAGATTCAGTCAAGAGATAACGATTGGAACGAAGAGAAAACACTTATATTAATTTAAAAGACAGTTTACAAAAAGAAACAGAAAATGGAGAAAGATGGGTATTTGCTCGTGATGAGTCTTGATGGTTGTTTACAGAGAGGAGAAGAGGGGTTGTCACTTAACTACAGTTACAACTTAAAATTAAACTAAGTTACTAACTACTACTAAGTGATATCTTCCTTTCGGACTGCAAACCCTCCAAGATTCGATGATGTTTTTGTGTGAAGGTGGTCCTATTTATAGCTGGAAGAGGAGTGGCAAGACTGTAATTCCTTTGGAGCTAGTTGCTTGAATGAGGGGACGGGATTGTGGCAGCAGAGTGTGAGGCTTGCATGAATTGCTGGATAGAACAGGATTTGGTGATGATTAGCCGTTGTTTGCATACCTTCCCATGCTTTGCTTTTGTTTTCAGCCAATGAGAACTCTTGATTCTCTGCTCTTCACGTTTCCAGGTGCTCAGTTGGTGCACCGCCTTACTTTTTAGAAGTCTTTAACTCTACGTTACCTGCAAAGTGTACAGAAGCATTAAATGAATGGAGCAGGTGCATTAAGTGCGTCTCAGTCCGTTCCCCTTTTAATATATTTTAAAGGAATACGTTACCATCCGTTCCCCCACTGTGTTTTTGTCACAAATGTGTAAAACAAGTGATTTTCATGCTGAAGTTGCTCATCAGATGAGGGAACGTATGGTATTTTGCCATCAAAATGGGCTTAGATGGGAACGAATTTACGTCCCATCACCCATCACCCTCTCTGAGAAGGAGGAGGACAGTGAAGACAATGAGCCTAATGCAAAAAGGCTCAAAATTGGATGAACTTCAAAACCTACACCAACTGCTAGGGAGACGTCCCCAAGTAGCTCTGCTACTCCTGAGTCTTCTGATGTTCTGTCCCCTCCACCATCACCTTCTCATTCTTCACCCCCACCAAGAATACCACAACCCTCTCCTAGGCAACAACAAGGAGAGAGAATTAAAGAAACAGATGCAGCCCCTGCTGCAGAAGAACATGTGGCTGAGCAAGAGGCTCAGCCACAAAAGAAACTTGACAAAGGAAAGGGGATTCAACATGAATCCCCTAAAAAGAAAAAGCCAACTGCTCCCAAGAAAATCATTCTGGGAGGGCCCCTCTCTTGCCCCATTATCCGTCCTGATACTCTTGGGGACGAGGCCATTGCTAGGGCTCTAGCAGAAGAAGAAGGCTTAGAAGTTTCCTCTACTGATGGAGGAACAAACTACAACATCCCCCTCTTCCTCAAAAATACAGGAGGTTGCAGTCAGGCAAGCGCCCGAAGAACCTCCAGCTTATGGCAGCAACAACAACCAGAAGAAGAAGAAGAAACCAGCCTCCCCCATTCCAGCAATCCTCATTGCATCAAGGAGAAAATCTCAGATTGGGATTGCTGATATTTTTGAAATGATGGGGAAAAAGATGGAGAAGCTGCTACCTGAAGCACCATCCGTTCCTCAGCTGGACATGCCTAGCACTACTGAAGAGCTGAAGGCTGTAAGGAACGGATTGGATCAACTCTCATCTTCCTTCATCAAATTCCAGGAGCAACAGAAGGAAGACAGGGAGCAGCTCCTCAACACCATCTAGGCTAGCATCAAAAGCATCAGTTCTGCACCTTCTGCACCTACCCTTCAAGTTGTCAGGAAAGAAATCAGTAATGCTGCTAATTCCCTGAAGTTTGCAAATTCTATGCACAACACCAGAGCTGAGAAACAACTCAGAAAACTCTACCTCCAAAACACTGAAGAACGAACAGAAACCAATGAAGCTCTCAAGTCTTTTGGTACATATTTGGAGGGGAGAATCACTCAGCTGGAAAACCGACTGGTGGATATAGAAGGGCAGATAGTGCATATCCACAATGACAGGATAATGATGAGATCCACCATTGTGCACCTCACTGCTGTGATCAGCGATCTACTGAAGGACGCTGAGAAGTGGCTCCCTGAAGCTGAAGTCAGAAGATTAAGAGATCAGCTTGGAAAAAGGCCACTTACGCAGGAGGAACTGGATGCTGAAAAGAATTCTGAGCTGGACAAGAGACGTCCACGTTGAAAAAGAGAAAGACCCTCCTATTTTTTTTTATTTCTCATTTACTTCTTTTCTATTAATTTACTTTAGTTTTTTTTTTTCGTTCCCTAGTGTAAAATTTTAATTCCTTTTTGAAATAGAAAAATCTTTTTTGATCAAACTGTTTGGAGCATACATTTCCGTTATAGTATTATGACTGTGAAAATTTGAATAACCAATGGCATGAAACACAAAGTCAATATGTAATCATTCTTGTTCTTACTCTGAATGCTTGAAATAGGAAAGGTGAAATGACTTTAATCTTCAGATTTTTGAAGCAAACTGGTCTGTGTGAACTAAAGCTGGTGAGGAACGAAAAATGCCAAACACTTACTCATGAGAGCATTCATGAGGTGTCACCACAATGAAACTTCTAAACTTGCCTTGATGCTGTCAGTACTACTGAAGAATAGGTGAATTTCACTAACAAGGATCAACCTTCAAACACTCACCCTTTCCCAATCAAAAAAACACTTCCATTCTTATTCATACCGCAGCACAACCCCACACACACACTCATCCCATGGTCAACTAAAAAGGGCAAGGAACAAATCCAAAATGAGCAAAGAGGACAAGAAGAAGAGAAAAAAATGGGAATAGCCATTCAAAAGAATTCAGAAGAAAATACTAGAAAAATTCCTCCAAAGGAAGAAAAGAAGGTACAAAAAGACAAGGTGTTCCCTCAACCAGAAAAGTCCAGCTCCGGAACAGAAGAACTGAAAAATGTTCCTTGACCCAAGACCTGTGACCATTCCATTTCTAAAAACCCTCCATCAATCATTTTCACAAAGATCCTTGATATGAAAAACCCCTGCACTTCTTAGGAAAGCAGCAGATAAGAAAGTTTGAAGAATCACATCCAGGAATGGACAGAGAAACACCAAGCCCTGAGTGATAGTGAGACAGAAAATCAGCAACCTTCACTTACCTTGGAACGAATTCTTTTTACTTTTCACCTATGGAAAGTAGTTCATCCTTTGAAAAGATTATGGTTACTTACTGGCTCAAGTTTCTGAAGTTGAGCTATTCTTTGAAATTGAGCAGCCTAAGCCACTATTTCTGAGTTGTTTGAAGACAACCAACATTTTTGTTTTGGGGTGTTTGAAGGGACAAAATTTTGTTCCCATCTAAGCCCATTTTAATGGCAAAATACTATATGTTCCCTCACCTGATGAGCAACTTTAGCACTAAAAGCACATATTTAATATCTTAATGACAAAAACACAGTGGGAAACGGATGTTGACGTAAGTCTTTGGAAAATATATAAAAAGGGGAACGGATTGGGAATATTAAATACACCTGCTCCACTCATTTAATATTCCTGATCATTTTGTAGGAAACGTTGGAAAGAAGTTTCTATAAAGCATAAGCGGTGCAGCAATCAAGCAAGAGGAAACGTGCGCAGCAGGGAATAAACGGTTCCTATTGGCTAAAGAGGAAAGCGAGGCATTGGGATGATCAGAAGGAAAGACAAATCTCAACAATAACTGTCCCATCCAGCCACTTGGGCCCGTCAAAGCACTGTTCGCACCGCCCCTTTCGTGCAGTCAAGAAAACAACTCCAAGGGAATTACTCACTTTGCCATTCACTCTTCTGCCTATAAATAGGACGTTCCAGCACAAAGAACATATCAAATTTCTTAAGAAGAGATCACTTAGTTTACTTTATCATTTTTCTTTTATAGTTTTAGTTGTAGTTAAGTGACAACACTTCTTCTCTATTCTGTATAACCCACTTGAGACTCCTCACGAGCAACAACCATATTCTCCACTTTCTATTTTGTGTAACCTAAGTTATTTCCATTTAAATATAAGTGTTATTTCTCTCTTTTTCATTCGTTATCTCTGAACTGAATCTCGGGTCTATAGGATTTCAGTCCAGAATAATTATGTTTAAAGTAGTAGTCATGGGCTAAACTATCGGTGGAACGGAAAAACTGTAAAGTTCTTAAAAACTTTCTCAAACACTTTTGTACTGAGCTTTTGTATTTCTCTGGTTAAGTAAGCTATATTCATTGTGTATCAATGGAAAATTGAACATATACTGAGAAAGGAACTTCCATAAGGAAGGGATTTCAGACAGCTTAACCAGAGGGGGAAGGTAGTCTTGTGGAAACAACACTGCTGGTTGCCTTAGGAATAAGGGACCACCTCGTTCATTTTAAGATTTTGTGCTAAGTAACTGTTGCAGTCAAGGGAGCCATAGGAATATGGAAACTTGTAAGCCATTTAGTCCATAAGCTGAGGAATCAGACGTTGGCAGTGAAGAGACTGGAACAAAGACAAAAGTGTTAAGTCTTGAGTAGAGAGAATAACTATTTAAGAATGGAACAGTGGATCCGTTCCTTTTGTTAAAACTGTTTTACACCATCCATACTGTTGTCTCTTAATTACTGTTATTACTATTGTTATTTTCCTTTTATTTATTCAATCTTGTATCTATAAATCTCCCATGAATATTGCTTTTCCTTATCTCAACAAGAAGGGTATCATACATAACGAAGCGATGAACTGTTTACTGTCAGATTGAACCTACTATTCTTGAGGAACGTTGTCAAGACAGTAGGAAACGTTTGACCAAACAAGTTTATTACTAACTTTTCTTTTCATTTTCATTCTTTGTAAAATAGTTTAAGGCATTAATTAGAGTTCTATCCTCGTGGGAACGATAATCTGGGCACTAAAAGTCCCTTTATTACTTGATGCGTGCACTTGCGCACTTGGGTTGAAGTAAGAGAACACAAGTGTTTTCTCTTACTGAACTAGAATGTTCTCCATCATAATATATTTTTCACCCAACAACTTTTGACCCAACAGTAGACAAGCTAAAAACCTTGTTTATAGCACCTAAACAATTCAGCCAATTAGGGATCAATTTGGGTTAGTATGTAAAAATTGGTTTAAGACCTAATTAGGATACTAATCTAGGGTTTAAGTGAAGAAGACCATGCATAATGTATTAATTAACTATAAAAACCCAAAAATGAACCTAATGAACTAAGGCCTAATGTGACTATGTGGGAATGAATAAGTGACCTAATAATAGAAAAATCCTAAAATTAAAGGGACTTAGAGTTTCTAACCAAAGATAATTAGGATTTGCTAATTAAACACAGTTGGGGTTAAATGACCAGTTTTTAGGCTAATTTTTGGAGAGCATATCTCCCTGCACAGAGGTCCCATAGGGATGTTCCATACATCATTTTGGAGCTTGAGATGTCAGCTATGTGTTGTCAAAATTTGGTACCATTTGAAGATGTGTAGCATTCTGTAGGCCTGATTGAGTGGAGACTGCCTAGGAAGGCCATATGCAGGGGTTGTACGTGGCTGCATCTTCCATGAATTTTTTGTCCCTTCGTTCTTACTTAAATTAGGCTCATGATATATCAAATTAAAGATGAATGTGTCTAGTTTTCTGTATAAAAATTTGAGAGCAATTGGTTTAGTAGATTTTTTAGAATCGCAGAAATAGTGAGTGATCTTTGGGGCTCTGTTTGGAGTTGGCATGCAGTTTTGCTTATCCAACTTCAAACGGTGATAATTGGAGCTAGAGAACTCCAAATGAGGCATGTGATAACTTTTTGGAAAGGTAAGTGAGTCTAGATTAACATAATAAGTGGGTTGCGCACAGTGACTAGAAAACAGAAACGTGTACAGTTATAGGAAAATCGTAAAAGTGAGATTTACGCTAAGTGAGCTTATGGGAACCCTTAGTGTAAGAACCCGCACCGTTAATTAAGGAAATTAATTAATTAATTATGTTAAATTAGGAAATGATTCTATAATTGACCCTAATAATTATTATGAGGCTCTTATAATTATAGTAAGTGATTAAGAATGCTGAAAGTCGCTTTACGGAAGAAAAGTGTAGATACCGGTTCTGCTAGTCGGTATAAATGCGTACCGAAAAAGTATCCCGGAAAATTATAACAAGTGCATGATAATTCTTAGAATAATTTATAGGACTTGTAAAACGAGTTTCAAGTCAAAGTAATGAGAACTGGTGCCATAAACTGATACTGGCTATGAAAAGCGCGTACAGGAAAGGTGCTCCAATAAATATAATAAAAATATATTAATTCTTATAAAATTGAGTAGGTTAAGAATCCTAAGTTTGGGATTAAAATTTTAAGCGTAGCAAATAAAGTTAATACTGTGTGTTTTATGCTTAAATGACTATATATAGGCTTGTTAAGGCCCAAAACCCTAGGCACTCAAATTTATTACGTGACTCTCTTGGTGGCTGAGTGTTAGTGCACTGTTTCATTGGCTTCTCCTTCATTCTTGAGCCAAGTGGTCATCTTTGCTCCATTTCTTCTTCTCTTTTGTTGAGTAAACACTTTGGTTGGGTGTGATGGTCACTTGTGAGTGGGAGAGGAGCTTATGTTCTGAGTTTTGAGGCTGCTTGAGAGGTGGGGAAGGGCTGAGTTGGTGTGTTTCCTTGGGTGATCTTTTGTTCATGTCTTTGGTAGCTCCAAGAAGCCATTTTTGGTGAAGAGGAACCTTGGTAGTGTGC